GGAACGTAACAACAACCCTTGAATTTATACTTAATGAAGGCATACTTTCAAGGTTAACTGAAAAAACAGGTTATATTTTGAGGAAATGAGACCTATACTTGACAATAAAACGATCCTCTTTGTAGTAATTCATACTGATTAGTAGCTTGGATTTTGGTTCTTTAATATTTTTTTCTGAAGTGAAACAATATTACTGGCATTAATCTCTCTATATATGTAGTTGTTATTAAGTGCAATTGAGTCAGTTCTGACTCATAGTGACCCTGTCTGTAAAGGGTTTCTGAGAAGCGGCTGGTGTGTTTGAACCACCAACCTTGTAGTTAGCAGTCCAGCAGTCCAGTGCTTATCCTACAGCACCACACCAGGACTCCAGTATATAGTACACAGTGTGCTTTTCTATATATAAGGAGTCCTGGTGGCATTGTAGGATAAGCATTAGACTATTAACTACAAGCTCAGCAATTCAAACTCAGCAGCCACTCTACAAGACAAAGATGAGGCTTTCCGCTTCCAAAAACATTAAGTCTCAAAAACCCTATATCAGACTGCTACAAGCTGGAATTGACTCAGCGGCAGTGATCTGTGGCATTTTTATGCATAAAAAACACTAAAGGAGCGCTCCTGATATACTAAGAATATCTTTATTTTTAATATAATACCATTTTTAATACAATAGACTTTACAAAAGTTGGTTTGTAACTATGGCTTGTTAAGTAAATGGGACGTTTATACACTAGGACTGCCTGCCTGTAAGAACTAATTAGAAATGAGTGGATTAAAAAAGAACTAACAAAACAGTTTGATTATTTCACCTTAATCATTTAATAAGATCCTTTGAAAATTTCAAGTAGACAGTGTTCAATATTGAGCTCCAAATATTTCAAACAAATCTTTCATTCTAAATTAACACATTAACATAAACTTGCTTCCACTGAGTCAATTCCAACTCATGATGACCCATGTGTATAAGAGCAGAACTGTGCTCCACAAGGTTTTTAATAGATAATTTTTCAGAAGTAGAACACGAGGCCTTTCTTCCAAAGCACCACTAGGCAAATTAAAACCTACAAGCTTTCTAATAGTAGCCAAGCATATTAACAATTGGCACCTCTCATAGTCATGCACAAATTAAGCTTACCTGCAGTAGGATCTTTTGCCAGTGAGTTATCCAAGGCACTTGTTACTGATTGGAAAAGATTCATTTTCTGAGTTTGCCCTGTGAAAATCAAAAAATTGTATCATTTCAAATATTGTAAAATATATAAAAATAAAACCGTTTTAGTAGTTGATTACAACTTGATTAGAATCAGCTAGAAAGAAAGGTAAAAAATATATTATGTGAATTAACTGAGTTATTTACAATGAGACTGACTCTGTGGAAGATACTAAAGCAATACAGACCTCACAAAGTTTGCTGGTGTGGAAACTTTATATACATCAAACCATTTAAAAACAACAGAAAAAGAAGGAATACAATCAAGTGGCCAAATGTGTATAAACCAATAAAAGTTATGAAAGGTCAGAAAAGGGGATTAGTCAGAATGAGAGTAGGGTATTCAGAATCTAAAATATTTAGAATGGAGGTAGCAAGATGGCAGGATATGCAGAAATGCTATACAGACCCTCTACAGCAAAGTTATAGAACACCAAATGAAACAGACATAGATGATAGTCCTGGAACTCTGAATCTACAGATGAAGGAATGTACAAGGTATTAAATGATTACAAGGAGATGAAGCTAAACATAGGTGGCAAAAAGAAGAGAGAGAGAGAAGTATGGCCTCAGGATGGTGGACTAGGCAGAAAGGCCGTAACAACGATATGGAAAACCAAATGACAGGTGCAGATGATAGTCCTGAAACTCTGAGCTTCAGAGAAGTGAACTGAATACTTAGTAGGAGAGAGAACTGAACAGACATGACAAAAAAGGAGAGGCTGGTGACTTGTGCCTGCTGACTGGACAGGTGCAGTTATCACAAACTTTTGTGAAGGGCTTAAGATATGAGAAAACATTTTAGCATTGCAGAAACACATCTGTGGCTCAGAGAGATTAAGGTGTAAATTTTTTTGTCTTGTTCTACACACTCCCCTGGTAACCAGAGGCAAGGTCAGCCGCCACCCACATACACACCCAGGGAAAGATCCACTCTCTTGGTGAGCAGAGCTACACAGAGGTGAGCACCGTAGTTGTGGGCACAAAGGATGGGTAAGCTGTCCACACTGACCCCATTAGGTTGGGTTCTGCTCCAGATCTGTAGAGTCAGCCCTAGACAGCCCTTCACTAGCTCTCAATAGCAGAGGCAGCTGAAGAGATGCAAAGGGTAGAAAAGAAAAGAAAAAAACTAGGGATCTGTGAAGGTCAGGCAGCTGCCATAATGAACTTTCACAGGCGACTTTGAAGGAAAGTGGGCAATAGTTGGCACAGAAGCATACCATTAATTGGTGGAGAGAAAGGGGCAAAATTTGTTTTGTTTCCTTGTACCCCACATTACCCTGGTGAATAGAGGAGTGGCCAGCCGATATCTGCATATACATCCAGGGAAACTCCTGCTCTCCAGGCTGCCAAACTCACATCAAACTATGTAGGGAGCTATTAGCACCAACTGTGGCACCTAGAGTCAGGAGTGGCCTCTTCAAACTCATCGAGACAATTCTAGTCAGCGCTGGACTAAAGGGGCCTCTCACCCTCGGCTCCCCCAGGGGACAGAAATACCCTGATCCCCCAGTTGCTTTGGGCTCTGTACAAACTATTTCTGAACTGGGTGTCCAGAACAGGCAACATCTAGCCCTATGGGAACCTGATCTACAGTTGAGTGTTACTGCTTCAGCCCTTACCCATGCACAACATGAGGTTCTCAGCTCACAGAAGACTCCAAAATTATCTCCCCTCTGGGTATAGCACCTACCCTAATTTTTTTCTTTCACTGTTTTTGTTTGCTTATTCTTTCTTCCTTGACTTTCTTTCTCTTGCTTTCTAAAATTTTCTATCTCCCTTTCATTTTTTCTTCTTTTGCTGCTTCCCTTTACAAAATATTTTTGATTCTTTCTTTCTTCTTTTTTTTTTTTTCTATATATCTCTCCGTGTGTGTGTGTGTGTTTTATACACTCTCTGGTCTCTTTATCACTCATTCCTCTCCCTAACTATGTTTAAATCTTTGTTTTTTATTTTTCTCTTTTTGATTTTATTTTCCTCTTCCTTTTTCTCTCTTTATTTTCGTATTCTTTTTCTAGCTGTTGCTTACTGTTTTTATTTTCCTTACTACCTTCTTTTGTCACTGTTGTTTGCCAGTTTATGTTAGCTTTCCTTCTCTTGTGTGTTTTCTTTTCTTGCCTCACCTGCCAGGACACAGCAACCATGTCCATACAGCCCAGCTTTAACCATACAGTCTTCGGCCCGACCCACTGGGCAAGAGGCAATACAAGCTGAAATGCATTGGATCAATGACAACAACCAGCATCAACTGAATCTTGAACTGAACTACACAAACAGAGAATGGTGTAGAAGCTCATCTCCTGATGCACACCCACCATGAGGCAATTTGTTGAGTGCCTGAGAATACACCAACATACAATTATCAACTTAATTCAAATTCAATTATCAACATCACAAGGTCTCAAAAGCAGCAGACAATTTCTGTTCACACAAAGAATCAATACAGAATTGTTCCATCAAGTGACCAAGAGGCAGAGCTAGAAAACAGTTCTGATGAAAAAAGGCAGTGGAACTGTTTCTGAAAAACAATTCAAGACAATAATATTTACGTACCTCCAAAAGATGGACAGAAAGGTTAAGGAAAATAAGAACCTTGACAGGAAAAATCAGAGAAAATACATAAAGGATTGGAGGCAATACAAACCCTGCAAATACAAGGATTTCTGAAATGGACAGTATATTGAAAAGTTAAAGGAGTATATTTGAATCAATGGAATCCCAAATTCGTGAGCTTGAAGATAAATCTCTCCATACCTGTAAGCTAGAAGAACATTCAGAGAAAATAATTTAAAAGCCTAAGATTCATATGGGACAACATCAAGTGGAATAACTTATGACGATTATAATTCCAGAACAGGAAGAGACAAAGAACAGCACAGAAAAGATAGTCAAAGAGCTGTTGGAAGAAAATTTCCATAGCATCATGAAAGACGGGAAAGATAACCATTCAAGAAGCAAGCCCCAAAAAAGGGCAGACCTTAAAAGAAAATCACCAAAACGTATCATAATCTAACTATCCAAAATCAAAGACAGAGAGAAAATCCTGAAAGCAACTCAGGAAAAACAAAGTTATCTACAAAGGAGAAGCAAACCAGATTAAGATTTTTTTTTAAATACCTACAAATAAGATTAGCTCTGATTTCTCAGCAGAAATCAAGCAGGCAAGAAGGCAATGGGGAGACATATTGCCAAACAAGAAGTACACATCCAGCAAAAGTGTCCCTCAAGAAATTCAACAATGAAGTGGCAAGCTAAGCCCTACAATGTAGAGAATGAAGCATTCAGCTTATAAAAAGAGAGGGCATATGCACAAGAACACCCACACTTGCAGATAATATCCACTTGACCTGGCTTCAATGACTGGATGATGAGAGCTCAACCAGAAGAAAGAAGAGGAAAAAAAAAGAGTGATCTGATGCAATCTGATGAACTTGACCTACACCTATAGAAGCAGTA